GACGTGAAATAATGCTTGCGTTGTGTTTCGTCGTGTGAGTAAGGTTACTGTATCCATTATTTTTCTGTCCATAGTTTTAAGCAAAATAATGTATTATTATTATCTAGTTAATAGTCTAGCATAATTTTACTTTAATATAGTAATTAAAAAAGAAACATATTGTAAGTGGAGTACATGCAAATAAATTATTCTATTCTATTATCGCCCCCTCCCCTTCTCCAATCCCTAAATCCCCAACAATTCTCAAACTCCTAATCTCCAAAAGGCTGGTAATACATTTGTATCAAAACACGCTTTCTTCATGGCCCTAAATCCCACGTCACAGTCCTTTGACGGCGGTTGTGGCCCAATCCTCGGATTATCGGTTGATTTGTAGACTTATGGCGTCACTTGTTAACCTGACCTGTTATTGTACTAGCCACAAATCCAGGATTCGTCTGAATCGAGGCCTAAATTGTGCCTTTTGTAATCCGTTTCAGGTTACATTATATTCGGATGGATGGGACTGGAATAATTGGGGCTGATTTCGATGTTAATTGACAATAGTATCTTCTTTATATATATAACTAGCGACCCGCCCCGGCTTCGCACGGGTGCAATATGCATGTATTATACATACAAACCTTCCTTAAGAATCACTCTATCTATTAAAAAAAACCGCATCAAAATTCGTTGCGTAGTTTTAAAGATCTAAGCATACATACGGACATACAGCGAAAGCGACTTTGTTTTATACTATGTATTGATGATGTATTGATTCTGCTGTACGTGTGTATGCCATTGAACTCGTCCTAAATGGCTTGACCGATTTAAATTATTTTTTCTGTACGCGTTTAAGTGGCGCCCTGAATGGTTAAAATTCACAAATCAGCCCGGCAGATGGCGCTGCAGTTAGAGTCTAGGTTAGTTATCCTAAACGGTTGAACTAATTTGAATGATTTTTTGTTTATACATTCAAGTGGATATGCAGAACAACGCCTGTCGGGACCGCTAGTTGTATTATAAATCACTGACTTTTGTTTTCGGTTTAATTTCTATGTTTACTATTAATATTAAAGTAGCAATTTTGTCATAGTTTCAACTTTAATAACAATATTCACAAACGCAACTATGAGTACCAACATTGTGCGTCGACGTAAGGGGTTCCAAAAACCGATGAGGTATTTGAATGGCTATGATGGCTTAAGGGACATGCACTGTCTGGTCTTTCTAAAACAATTGAATAAGTAAATAAGATTCACGCTTAAATAGCATTCTCCATCATCATCATCATCATCATTCAACAGCCGAAAGACGACCACTGCTGGACAAAGGCCTCCTCCTTGGTGTTCCACGTCGAACGACAACTCGCCACCTGCATCCACTGGCTCCCCACAACCCTGGCGATGTCGTCGGTCCACCTAGCGGGAGGCCTGTCCATGCTTCGTCTTCCAGTCCGTGGTCTCTTTTCAAGGACTTTCCTCGCCCATATGCCGTCAGTCCGTCGAGCGACGTGGCCTGCCCATTGCCACTTCAGTCTGCAGATTTTGCGAGCTATGTCGGTAACTCTAGTTGCATTCTCCATACTGAAGGAGATCTTCTAAAACAAAACGAGTTAAGTAGGAAATTGTTACCCACATACATATAAATGCACCATTTTCAAAATTATACGGAACAATTGCTTGTTTACTCTCCAAAAGCAAGTGTAACAGAATAAAGCCGCGGTTCCACAAAAATATTCAGTAAAGCTAAAAGAAAATATCCTTCCTGTAAAGTAATAGTGAACGTTTAAGCAAAAAAGCACAGTTTCCCATATTTGCTTGTGTAAATGCGTGTGAAAATCTCGCGAATTTGTTGGGATCAGAGGCGGGACGTGCTGCAGGCGTTAAGGCAGAAGTACCATTCCTTTTCCAATTATTAACCTAAAAATATACGTCGCAATAAGTTAGCTTGAAGCTTCGGATACACACTTTTTTTTAAGGGGGGAAAATCATCGAATGACTTCTCCCGCCTGGGTGAGGCGTAGGGAGTGTCAGTCTCTTACTGACTAAAACCACCCCGTGCCTTCTCCTGGCGTTGGATACACTAGGGTACAAATGTCCCAAGACATGGATCGTCGACATGTCAATCAAAACCGGCCGATTCCGCTTGATATATTCCGTTTTATTTTTATTATATTCTATTTAGTATTTATCTATTTATTTGTATGAGACTTTGGCAATAGGATAGTGCTGAAAATCAGCTCCGCGACTCGAGCAATCCCGCTCGTGACACGACATTTTAGCTGAGCAATGGCCTTTTTGCACCGTGTACACTGTTGTTTTTTATTACTATTTTTTCCTTGTCCTTTCTGTAATGGTGCAAATAAACTGTTTTTATTATTTCTTTCTTTCTACATATACGGCGACAATACAGGCGTTCAGTCTTCTACCGGATACATTTCGGTGAGTGTGCGGGGGAATTGCACAACTTAATTCCCCCTAACCTTTTCCATAATCGTCAGACAATCGACAAAGCGTCACCGATTCATGGTAGATGTCCCACCCACACGCACGAAGCGCTTCGCATTAAGCTTCCTTGTGCGTACTGCTAAGGAGTGGAATTGTTTGCCAGAGTCTGTATTTCCTGATCATCATAAACAACCCTCCATAGTATACTGACATACTAAGACAGACAGACGGGGATTTACCATAATCTTCACACTTAACAGGTCAACCTTGCAATAAGACGTCTCAAATGGAACTTCTGCTTCTAACCTGTCTCATCCTCGGAAGCGTCGCCGTCACTCGAAGCATGGCTTCCGATTATAAGCTTCGGCGCCCGCATTTTCGATTTTTCATGTTTTAAACGATGCTAAATTGGTCTGGCAACTTCTACGGGAAGTTCAGACTCAATCTGGTTCTGATTTTCTCTGTAATAACGTTTTTGAGTGGTTTACAAGTCAATATTAGGTTGTGTCGTCAATCAGCAGGAGTATTGATGGGAGTGATAGCAGAAAATTAGGCTGTTCTTCTACGAAATCCCTACTTATGACGTCATCATATTTTCGCGTCAAATAGCACACTAATATCTAATAAAAAATGCTAGAATAAATCAAAAATTAAGTATATCGGCAAATCAATAAATGAAAATGTAACTATTTTACAAATAACATCAAATGAATTAATTTTTAACCCAGGAAACTACCCAATTATGTAAATATAAAAACTGAAAAATCTTTGCACTATCCAGAGATCAACTGTCAAATCTCACAACGGACTTTGATCTTAAGTTTCGTTCGAATCAAAGACTAGGTAACAATTTAAAATTTGCTTATGCTTAAAGATAATGAATAAAGATCAATGATGTCGTGGTGGCCCGGAGGTTTAAGACGCCCGCTTCTCATGCATGAGGGTACAGGTTCAAAACCTACCAACGGCAAGTACCAATGTGACTTTTTCCGAGTTATATGTACTTTGTAAGATAATCTAGACACCACTAATAAATGGTGAAGGAAAACATCGTGAGGAAACCTGGATTTAAAATATCTAATTATATATTTGTAATCACCAACCCGCAATGAGCAAGCGTGGTGATTAACACATTAACCGCTGTGGGGGTCACCGGTGACCGACGTTAGCGGAGAGTTTGCCTTTAACAATTTTCTAAAGGCTGTCGACGGCTTAATGCTCAAACCTTCTCCGTGTGAGAAGAGGCTTTGCTCAGCAGTGGTCATTTAAAGGCTGTTGATGACAATAAAGATCAGCCTTGTATAGACCCAATATTAAGAAAACCTTAGTTACTAAACGCTATTAATCAACAGAGGACAATTTATTTAAAACCCTCTATTTTTATTTCCTTTCTTATTTAAAAGGTCTCCTTTTCCCTGTAAGCCTGTAAGAAGGTTGTAAGTCAAGGCTCATTAATTCTCCCCAGACCAGACTTAAAATAAAAAGTAAAATACAAAAATAGAGTAAAATTCCCTTAAGGAAGTATGAGTTACGATGTACTAGATTTTTCTTAGCTTTTGTAAAAAATATATTCTTTGTAGGGTTCAATAGGAGTTTAAAAAAATGTGACCTTTTGTGCAGTCATCATAGTATAACAAACATAAAAAAAAACGATTTCGAAACGACAACATATATCCGAAAAATTCGGATTACGGAGATTAGAGAGAGAAAATGTAACAACAATTTTTCACTATTTTTGTTTGGAGTCCCATGTAATAGGGAGTGTGCCTATTGCCATATATACCGGGCACAATTCCAGACTCCATGCTACTACTGAGATTTTTTTCAAAACGTAGTAATACTTTTCCCGACCTGGGCGGGAATCGAACCCGAGACCCCTTGCCCGGCAGCCGCACTTGCGATCACTCGGGCAACGAGGTAGTCATAATTACAAAGTCATTATTATCCCCAAAAAAGTGGGCAGAAATGTAAGTTTTCAATGTGATGACGATTCTAGACTCCTTGCTATTTCTGGTAATAGAACTCATTACATAGCTGCGATAAAGTGCCTTGTGTGTGTGTGTCATACCCCGTACATACGTTTGATGTTTGCTACAAATACCAAAGACAACAATTAATGTCCTAAACATTGGCCAGAACCACTAAACACAAACAGTCGGCCTCACACTTGGCGAACATGTTAATCGACAGACATGGCGGACTACGACCATGTAGCAGCTGCCAATTTCAAATTCAATATTTTAAACATAAACAAAATCAACTCAAAAAAGAAGACAAAGGCGGTGGTGGTTGCTAATAATACCCAAAAACCACCCACGTGTGTGTTTCGTTTGTGTATTAATTGAAAATTACAGTTTACTCGCGTAAATTTACTGAGAAAAGCTTTACTAGTTTCGAGTAGTGTGCGCGGTCTCGGCGATGTCGTAGAGTAGAGCATTCGTTCTGATGAAAAATTTGAGTATCTGCTTAACAATTTTTTTCCCTAATTTAAAAGCAAGATACTGACTTCAGAGACGCCATACCAACTAAATATAAACTAGTTATAACTTTAATATTTCTATATTTCTCGCAAGTGGTGACTGTTAAAATATGGTATACCTATATATAATAATAATAAATAAATTATAATTTACACTAATTATTCCAAATATCATCCCAAGTAATATCAAAAGTCATTCCTTAAGTCTACAAAGCTATTAACCAAGTTCATAGAGACGAAATAAAGGTATTCATTGTTTTAATTTATTAAAAGATCATACATTTTTTATTCCTCACATTTATTTTAAGAATTTAAGCTTAACATAAACATAGTGTAAGTAGGTAAGTCACTATTTTTCACAGTTACTAAAGCCTTCGTAAGTTTTAAGTAACGCTTCATTATTTGATTTTGTCCTTTTGGTGGTGCAATTAGTTCATTGGATAAAATGTCAATGGTAGGAGTTGGATGATAAATGTAATTGAGTAGAATGCTGGTTGAGGATTCAATGGTTCGTTTTGTTATTATGGTTTTCGGCTTACTCACGTAATTATTTGACAAGGAACTCGATTAGTTTGACGCCATGCTAGAGGCTCATATTTATGAGCAGCATTGTTGGTTTTGTGTTGGTGATATAACTGGTAATGATACAGAATGTAACGTTTGGGAATTGGCTGGTTGGCCTAAAAATATGATGTTGGGGAGGCGATGGACGGATTAGATAGGGGGTTCTGGAGATGCATTTGCCAAAGGTTCAGAGTAGGATGTTTGGGAGGTTGACGACCGTTTAATCCTTGGCGAAGCAATTTGCATTTCGTATGGGACTGAGTGATAGGAAGATAGGGTTTGACACATCTTATTCTTAATTCTATTAACAAATAAAGTGTCTATGTCATACATCATTAGGGTTCTATCATCAGGAGGTAGTTCTCGCAACTTTTTGGCCAACAATTTTGCATATAGGTCGCAGTCATCGTCATCTTTCGGTGGCGGTTGATAGCGGTCTTTTTGTCTTTTAGTTAAAATATTGGTTAATTGCCTAAACGCTGAAGTCATCTGCCGGTCCGCAACATTGGTAGCAGGACGACGACGAGGAATCAGTAGTTTTGGTGTTTGCGAAGTGGATGGCTGCTCTAAATCACTATCTTCTATGTCTTGTTCTTCTTCCGCTAAAGTTGTGCTCTCAATCGGGATTTCTTGTGGTGGAACTTCCTAAAAAATATTTAAGTTTGTTATCGACATATCTCTTTTTTTATGCGATAAGCCGGTAAACGAGCAGAGCAATCGGCGTCGCCTATGGACACTTGGAACGTCAGAGGCGTTACAAGTGCGTTACCGGCCTTTTGGGGATTAGGAGTTTAAGGTTTCTTGGGGGTTCATGGATTGGGGGGATTTGGGAAAGGGAAGGGGTAATTGAGTCTCCAATAACCTCACTCACTCGACGAAACATAACGCAAGCGTTGCTTCACGTCGGTTTTCTTTGAGGCCGTGGTATCACTCCGATCGAGCCGGCTCATTCGTGCCGAAGCATGGCTCTCCCACACTTTTATCACATAGTTTAAATTTTTAGTTCAGATGCCATCGAGAAAATATCAATCATATTCTTATAAACAGTACACCTCATAGTGGATCTGGGTATTTCAACTATAAGAAAACCATTAGCATCATTCTTTTGGCGTCAGTTGATCATATAAAATAACTATATCTGTTTCGAAAAAGCATATCAGGGTGAGTTCTTTTATTGAAATTGGGCAACTTTTCCATAACATCACAAAGGCTATTTCAGCCTTTTTCTAGCTACAATCTTGATTATTTGATCAATAAGTATGGGGAGCTTCCATTTTTTTTCTATATTTCGACCAATTTTTCTTTGGCCAACACTTTATGAGTAGAATACATCTTGAGACGGCAGGCATTTTACACAACAACCATTATCCATTTAGAGTAAAAGATAAAATTAATCACTATGATAAAATATATTACAACTTACCTCCTCTGTATTTACATTATCTGTGCATGTGTAAAAAGGCCCCAAAAATGATTCCATTTGGTCATAAGCAAACCAATTGGGTTTATAGATATCGTCTGCTCCTAAAACAAAACATATTATATCAAATACAATGAAGAAAAGAGTATGGAATAATTACTATGCAATTCTTTACTTATACCCATATTTGTTTAATTTTAGTATATTTGTTGATAGTATGTAGTAGGTATGTACCTATTTTGTGAAAATTTCAGTACCACGGTTTAAGATCTTATGAACAGTCGGACAGTCGGAAAGAGTCGGACAGCGAAGTATTAGTCCCTAATTATACCCTTACCCTTTGGGTACAAAACCCTAAGACCGCTGCCTCGAATTTTGCGGGCAGCGGGGCGGCGGTGGCGTGGCGAGCACCGCTTGACTGCAGTGCACTGCTCGTTGCCTGCCCCCGCCCTGCTACTGTTTTCGAGAACCGGTCTATTTGATTTCACACATAAGATCCTACCGATCCCGCGCCGCCGCCGCCGCCCCGCTGCCCGCAAAATTTGAGGCAGAGGCCTAAAAATCAGTTTTGATTTCTATGTAATGGTAACAAAAAGATATATAACATTGCTTACTCAAAACCAACTAACCTGCACCAGAACGAATCGACGCTTGTTGTTTTCTGCAGTGCCTCCTGAATGTAGCCATTAATATTTCTTTTTTATGTTTTAATTCTTTCACATTTTTCTTCATGATCACACTGAGGCGTGTCCACGCATCCTGTACCTTATGCCTATTTTTGTGGTAAGGGTCTTTTGAATTCCAAATACATGGCTCGTTTTTGTACGCTTCCAAGAAGCGAAGAGTTGTGTCTTCCGGCCAATCACACATGATTACGCGAAAACCTAAATCTTTGGCTCCAACAGCGATTTATTTTTGCGCGCGCGACGTCCACCGTTCGTTAGCTCGCGCGCAGTACTGAGGACTTAGAACGAGTTTGTTTGGCCGGCTGAAATGAACCAGCCAATCAGAGCGTCGAACGCAAGCGTGTAGAAACATCGCAGACTGTTTGCCAATGCCAAACACGCTTGGTATTGATCAGTGACACCGACGCCGAACAATGGCGAACAAGACAGACACATACATACAAACACCCACCCACATGTTCGTGTTTGCTGTTTGCCAAGCGTACGGACGCGGCTTCAAAGGCATGACGTCACGTGTGTTTATTAAATAGATTATACAGTTGGAGACATTTATACAGACCACTATATTAGAAGTTCAGTAAATTATTTTTCTTAGATTATTTTTGCCTTAAGTTTCAGAGCAATGATTTTCAGTTTGGTTTTGTTAAGTGTCTACTTACATTAGGCAGATCATTTGTTTCCTTTATTTATAGGGTTGGTTTTTTATTAGTTTTTTAGCCAATTACGTTTTCTTTGTTCATTTTGTTTTTTTTTTTAAGATAATGTAGTGAATGTTTACAGGTATAGTCTTGTCATTTATGTTTTTCTTTATTATTTTACAATTAAGTAATTTCTTGTTACACTTCGTGAAATCCTTATCCTTACTAATATTATAAATCGGAATCCTTACTATAATATTATAAATCGGAAAGAGAGTTTGTTTGTTTGTTCCGCTTTCACGCCGTAACTACATAACCGATTGCTTTGAATTTTTGCAGATGTATAGTTAGAAGTCCGGATTAAATAATAGGATACTTTTTATCCTGGAAAAATTTGATATTCCCGAGGGAAAACAAAAGTATTGGTATAGATGGCGCTGTGTGTATTGGTATATGTCACATTGGCCTTTTATCCTTTTGTGACGCGAGCGAAGCCGCGGGTAAAAGCTAGTATGTTATAACGATACGCCTTTAAATTGTCAAAGGATGTGGCAGATGTGTATAACGTAGAACATAAATTGTTCACTATTTGAGTTGTACATCCCGGTTTTAATCTCTTTTTTGAACCGTCTTCAAAAAGAAAAAAAATGTAGTTTCTGTTCTCAGTATGTTACTTGTATGTTCGTATGTCGGTGCGGGATTATCTCGCGATTAGCTAAACTAATTTTGATGCGGTTTCCAGTAAAGTTTTTGTTTTTGATTCAGGGAATGGGGAGGAAAACCTATACTTTCTTACCTTCAAACCTAATTTATTTGACGTGATATTATAATTTTAAATAGATAGGTACTACAGGATTTTTTCCAATCGACATATAAGAGATACAGAGATATTTTTTTAATTAACCTCTCGCGCGCCTCTCGTACACACGGGTAAACGCGCGTTCTCGTACACACGGGAAAATGTTTTGAGAGGAACAGTAAACGGTTACATAATAAAGTCTTACTAACTACATAGTTGATACAAGATACATTTTGGGCAATATTGCAACCGACAACGAGATATAATTAGGTACGTCATCATTACAACCCAGTTTTTTTTTCTCCTCTAATAATATCTTTCGATTTATTTCGTTGCGACAGTTATTCATGTCTCTGGGACGCGACAGACTTCAGTGTTTCGGTGTTTTCATGGTTGTATCTGTAGATTCTTGCTCACAGGAGTTGCAGCGGTTTTGGACATGCCCTAACAAAAAAAGGATCCATTATTAGACTTAGGACCTCCTCTAAAAAAACGTCGCCAAAATCTCCTTTATAGATACGATACCACGAATAACTTAGCTTAAGCTTAACTAAATTGTCTCCATCTGAATAATTAAAGCAATATCGAATAGCTTCTCTACACCACAGTACAGGAATGAATATTTAATAAACGATGCAATATGGCCGCTTACAATGCATTTGGCTCGATGTCAACAGCTTGCCGCCAGATGGCGTTACTTCCGGGCAGAACGGATGTGACGTCAACGCCAGTGTTGCCAGATTGTAGACGGATTATTGTTTCATTAAAGTAGTGTAGGATGTGGGTTTCGGAAGGTGAATGTAATTAAATTAATTCAGAAAAGTATTGTGTTTGTCTTAAATGTCATTATGTGACACAGTAGTTAAGTTACTCAAATTAATAAAAAATGAGAAACATGACTAATAAATAACGCGATTACAAATAAACAAGTTATAAAACAGACAGACAACGGTAAACGTGAAAATAAATAAGAACTAGTAATTAACTGAAACTAAAACAGTGAATGAGATAAAAAGCTGAAGATTAAAAAACATAGTTATAAAATTATTACCACCTCTAATTTTCTCGTGGGTATCGCAAAAGCCGTCTACATTTGGTACGGCAGCAGCGTTGATAAACTATAGATCTGTTACCGTGTGTTTTAAATAACATAACATCACGCCTTTTATCCCCGAAGGGGTAGGTAGAGGTGCAGATTACGGCAGTTAATACCACTGTACAATGTAACAGTTTTTACTATTTATGTTATTAGTCCTATGTAATAGTGGGTGAGCCTATCCTATTGCTATGTCATATATCGGGCATAATTCCAGACTCCTTGCTACTATTAAGATTTTTTTTAAAACCCAGGCATACTTTTCCCGACCCGGGAATCGAACCCGAGTCCTCTTGCCTGGTAGTCGCACTTGCGACCACTCAATCAACTCGATGTTTTAAATAATCCTGTATAAAGAAAATCTTGGTCATCTTGGTGGTTGCACGGACCTTGGACACTGCTACAATGAGCTATTACACTGCTAAAATTGCCGCGGAGAACCTAACGGGTTACTGGGGCTCCAGCTCGACGTGCAGGAGAAGGAACGGGTGGTTTTAGTCAGTAAGAGTCTGACACTCCCTCCCGCCTCACCTAGGCGGGAGCAGTCATTCGATGATTTTCCCCCCTTAAAAAAAAAAACACGAAAAGCTAAAATTAGGCGTGTTGACAGGCTTAACCATCAACAATGAGAAAATAACCTCAAAAATAAGAACAACGAGGTACCATAATCAATCTTTTAATACCAAAACGAGTATTTTTTAATTTATTTCCACATACAGCCCCTTAAAAACGTAATTAAAATGATTAATAGAGCCACTAAAGCCATTCCAATTATGTAAGTTCATGTAAAATTAGAAACGATATAAATCTTGATTGGAATCTTTTGATCAAAAATCAAAATGGAGGTTGAACACGACACACGCATAAAATTTTCCCTTTATCCTTACTATAATATTATAAATCGGAAAGTAAGTTTGTTTGTTTGTTTTTTTGTTCCGCTTTCACGCCATAACTACTAAACTGATTGCTTTGAATTTTTGCAGATGTATAGTTAGAAGTCCGGATTAAATAATAGGATATTCTCGAGGGAAAACGAAAGTATTGGTATAGATGGCGCTGTGTATACTGGTATACGTCACATTTGTTCTTTATCCATTTGTGACGCGAGTGAAGCCGCGGGTAAAAGCTAGTTATAAACATAAAGCTGACAAGCTGGTTTGTGTGTTTGGTTGAACGCACTATTTGTTATGGCATTGGTTGGTAAACGCGCAGATTTCACACATTTCCCGTTTAGAGAACAAAGAGTAAGTAGTTCCCTAAGATCGGCAAAGGAGTATCCTCCGACCAGGCGAGGTGATCGTGCCTGGCGGGCTTTCTGCCCAACAGTTGTTCGTTGGGATTTTCTATGCGTGTTAATTCCAGACCAAAACATCACGTTACACAAAATATAACATCACGCTTTTTATCCCTAAAGGGGTAGGTAGAGGTGCACATTACGGCACGTAATGCCATTTATGTTATGAGTCCCATGTAATAGGGGGTGAGCCTATTGCCATATACCGGGCACAATTCCAGACTCCGTGCTACAACTGAGATTTTTTTTAAACTCAGTCATACTTTGCCCGATTCTGGAATCGAACCCTTGCCCGGCAGTGGCACTTGCGACCACTCGGCCAACGAGACAGTCGTTACGTTACGACTTATAGAAACCAAGCCGAGAGGTAAAACCGCGCGGCAATAGTAAGTTCAAAATGAAATAGCTTCTCACCACAGCACACGCATAAAATTAATCTATAAAACATATTGGACGCTTGTAAAAAGGTAATTATTGTGATTTTATTATCCAATAGCATGGTAAGCAGGACTACATGGGATTTCACTTAAGAAATTGCTTCCTAGGCGGTGACTTTTGTAATTTGTTCGTATAGTTTCGAAGTTTTGGAGTCGTGTAAAGTCAGACGACCGCGGATGGGGCCCAATAGGGCTGATGCCGATACGGAGCCGCGGAGAACGTAACAGCTTACCGGGACTCCGGCTCGAAGTGCAGGAGTAAGAACGGGGTCCTTTTCAGTCAGTAACAGTCTGACAGTCCCTCCTGCCTGACCCAGGCGGCAGGCGGGAGAATTTATTCGATGATTTAAAAAAAGAGTCGTGCGAAATGTGCAAAATAATGTGATATTGAAGTTTTTAAAATATGACTTGTATGTTCTTACCTTTAATAGGAAGAAATGCACTAGACTTTATGAATTTAAATTACATCTCTTCTAAATGGATACGAACTTAAGTAATTTGAAAGCTTGGGTACTGAACCACACAGTTCAGCAGGTTTGTTATTAGATTGAGGGCCGATTTTCTGAACGCCAGGTAAATTATAAATGAGGAATAACGTTGAATATTTGACAATTGTTCCATACTAAAAAATGTCAAATGGTCAATTTTATTCTACTGTTACGGTGTTTAATTTGGTCTTAAATTTATTTTTAACTAGCGACCCGCCCCGGCTTCGCACGGGTGCAATATGCATGTATTATACATACAAACCTTCCTTAAGAATCACTCTATCTATTAAAAAAAACCGCATCAAAATCCGTTGCGTAGTTTTAAAGATCTAAGCATACATACGGACATACAGCGAAAGCGACTTTGTTTTATACTATGTATTGATTTTCTCTTCCCTCACTTCGTTTGGCAAATGGTTGAGTAAGTACGGGATACGCTTTTTCATTGATCGATCACCATAAACATTTTTACCGTTTACGGGTTTATCTCATAAAAAAGTT